GCCAGGGTGGCTCTTCCTCCTCCTCCCTGCCCTTTGCCCATCCCTGTCAGCTCTGGGACCCTCTCTGAGGCAGCCCTGATTGAGCACAAAGGTACGGTGCCTCCCCACACCTCTCCACCCCCATGCTCGGAGCAGCACCCAGGCATTTACATCTTTTACAGCACTCCCCTCTGCCTTCCACCTTTCCTCCCCAAAACCAGTGTGGCCTTCTCAGTGCCTGCCCTCCCTGCGTTGCTGGCTCTCCATATCTGTCCATGTCCCTGTGGCCTCCTGAGCTCTGAAGCAAGCCGGAGCTGCCATGACCACCAGAACAGACACAGAACAGCAGTCTCGACTCGCCAGCTTTCATCCCCTCAGTTTTCCCATCCCGAGTCTTTCCTCACACTGCTGGTTTTGCGCAATGGTTCGTAATGAGGCACTGCCAGAAGAATGTCATCTTCCTGGTTTTTCCAAAATTCAATCCACCGTTTCCTGCCCATTCCCAGTCTCCAGCTTCTTCATACACGTCTATACGAGCTTGCAGCTCCTTCAGCTTGCTATCACTTGCAGTCTTTAGCCCTGTTTCTATTCAATAGTAAGTAAAGGGCATTTGGCCAGGTATAATGCATTCTGAGCTTTATCTCTCTATATATCAGTGCATGAACTAAAACAATTGTTTTGCAGCAGGACCAGCCACCTGAACTCATCAGCAGTCACCAACGCTCCCGTGCCGCCACAAAGCAGAGGGTGGGAATGGAGAACCGATGGCACCAGGCTCATCCTGGCTGAAGCCACCCTGGAGCCGCACCATCGGCTCCCGCTGTGCTATCTTAATGATCCTGTCTTTTCCCCCTCCATGCTCTGTGCCTTAATTAGCCTTTCCCCCTCCTGTGGGCCCAACTGCTCTGCTGTCTTTTAAATCCTTCTTCCCCATGCTTCGCCTCTAACAGCATCTTTCTACTGTACACTTCAAAGGCTTTGCTCACCGCATCTGTCCTGGCTGGCATTGGCCGGCAACGCCCCAGCAAAGGCCAGGTCTGCCATGAAATCGCAGTCATTGAAAAGACTTCAGGCCCTCTGGGAGAGGAGCAGGGATGGGGGAGGAGGGGTGGAAGGATTTTCACCATTTCACCTCTGGGAAGAGCTATTAGTAACACAGGAAAAGCAAGGGGGAAGCCAGCCCCCTCCTCCCACCACCCTCCCGCCTAGGGAGCCTGCTGAGGGCAGAGTGCTTTTATGTGCAAGTGGGAGGGAAGGAGAGTGTTAGGGCTTCAGAGGGAAACGCTTTGATCTTGACTTTGAATCCTCAGCAGTTCCCGGCTCTCCCCCACCCCTCCCAGGGACCCCAGGATACGGCCACGGCTCCTGCTCCTCGCTGGTGCTGAGGTGCAGCGCTCACTGTTTCACAGGGACTGCCCTCCTGCCCAAGCAGGAGCACAATGCCTCAGGTGGCAAGGGCATGGCACCAGCACCAAGTTCAAACTTTCCCTCTGGGAAGGAAGAGAGAACCCAGCTGGAAAAGGGAAAAGAGCCCCGAGAGAAGCAAAGGGCAATTAGAGATGGGACCTACTTTCAAAGCTACCCCTGGGCATTGGACTCGTACATCCTGAACATCACCCAGATGGTGAAAGGGAAGGCAGCCACACTAACAGGGTGCTCTGTGTCCCTCTCAGGGGACAGCACTAAGGTCCCACACGAGAATGAAGGGGGAATCTTAAGGCAGAGGTGGGAAAACAGCAATGGGGACCCAGGCACTTTGCATGGGATGGGTAAGAAGTGGCACTGAGGCAGATGTGAGTGATGGGGAATGACACTGAGCTCTGAGTCACTGCAGAGGCAGCGGGCAGCAGGATGCGGAGGAGCCTTAGGGGCCTCCAGTCTCTTGTTCAAGATGGGATCTAATGCCCAGGCCAACTCCCTGCTGCCCTCAGGGAGAGGAAACTCCTGGCTGGGCCTTGCCACCAATCTGTCCTAATGTTCAGGCCAAGTTCTTCTGTCCTCCATGCCATTCCTCTGTCCTCAGTCACACAGCTGAGGTCATCCCCATTAATTCCTCTCACCCTCTGTGATTTACACACTGGGCTGTCCCTGCCCACCAGTTCTCACTTCAGCACCACTAAACAGATCTTGCTCCTCACATCATCTCCTATAATTCAATCACAGCGGCTCTCTTGCTCCTGTCTGTAAACTCCCTGTAATTTGCAGCTCTCCCTCTCTGTGCAGCGTTAGCAGAACTGAACACAACCGTCTTTCTGCTGGCACCAGCATTGCCTGGAGGCAGGCACAGAAATGAAAGAGCCTCACAGGTCCTCTCCGCGGGGCCCACCAGTCTGTCTACCTGCACATCCCGTTATGAGCTCCTGCAGAAGTGTGAGGCAGTGTGCTCATAGTTGGTTTCAGGGCTGGGAATGAGATGTACCTGACAAAATGAGCACAAAACCAGGACTTTTGAAATTCAGTTTGAACAAGTTACTCTGGAGAGTAACCATGCTTTCCAGCCCCCCTGGCCACAGTCACGTCAGGACCACAGAGAAGTATTTCATGCAACTTGACGTTCCTTCCACCTCAGATATGTGAACAGACTGCAGCTGCAGTGGCCCTACATCTGTTGCCATCTCAGGCTGCAAGCTCTGCTCACTGGTGTTTCTTCATGGAGCAATGCTAGTGGAGAAACCCAGCCAAAACAGCAGACACTTGGGACCCTCCTTGGAGCCCTCCATGCTCTCAGTCCTGCCAGTGCCTCGTCAGTTCCAGTTAGTGCCTTCGTCAGTTCCAGTTCCCTCGACTTCCCAGAGGGATGACAGCACTCAGATTTTGACTCTGCAGTGCTCTGGGAGGAGAAAGATGGGAAAAACAGAAGCCAGAATACCAGCAATGTTTTTGAAGGATGGACATGTCAATCTAGCCTGTTTAGGTCAATCTGTTCCAATTCCAGAGCTGGTTTTGGCAATGAGCCCACAGTCTGACCTGCTCCCAGTGGCATTATTTCAGACATTTCCCATCCTACCTGGATGGTCTCCTCTGGTCCAGCCATGGACTGCGGGGAGGGAGCTCTGACTCCATCCACTGGGATTGGAGGTGGGTTTGGGGAGCAAACCTTGCAGGGAGGATAACTGAGTGTTTGAATATCGTCCCCATTCGTGGCACTATTGTGCAGGAACGCAGCACCACGTCCTTGGGACACCCTCCTCATCGGGTTCAAACCGATGAGAGTTGTACCTACTGAACACGGAGGTTGCTTTTGGCCTGTGCCCAAACTCGGAGCAGCAAAACCCGCCTTCCAGTGCTGCTGGATGTCCATGCCCCCCGGCACCAAGGCCCATGTGTGGCTGGATATCTGTGCACCTTTGCTGTGAAAGGATGGGCTGCAGCAAGCAGGTGAAAGCACAACAGGCAGAGAAGCTTCTGGCAAGCCGAGCTGAACTGCAAAGGTCTCCACAACCCGCTGCCATGCTGAAGCATCCAGCAGCAAAGCAGGAAGCGCGCTGGTCCCCCACTGAACTCCTCCAAGGAACAGAAAAATGCTAACTACTTGTTTATATGCTGGAAGCCCGTGTGTGCAGTGATCTGCATAACAGAACTGCCCAGGCTGTCTCTTTGTGTGTTTTCCAGCTCCTATGTTAATCACTGACCCTGCTGACTCTGGCATTTACCAGTGTCTCACTGCCCTGTGAGCACTGCTTTGCATTTGCAACCAAAGAAGTTAAAAGGATGAAGGATGAGAAGGGGAGGGAGCAGCTGTGACTGCAAGCACCAGCCGCCCGGGGAGCACGTCCAGGGCTGGCCAGGTTGATAGCGAGAGTGGAGCTGGCGGTGGAGATACAAAGATTGCCTGAGCCGGGGGGAAAAGCTTGCAGGGGGGTGGTTTAGGTCTCTCTTCCTTGCAGTGCAACTTGTCTGTGTGTAGTATGAGAGATCTCAGGGAGCACTGGGGCCCAGGTTTTGGTCAGCTTGGGTGATGGATCTTATCTGGGGCAGGGAGGACTCATGAGGGGTGGGAGTGGGGCCAGTCCGCAGCTTCCAGGGAGCTCACTCCTATCAAACTGTGCTCCTGGGAGGTGAGAGGAGCAGTGCTAAGGCTGGATAGGTGGTGAAACTTAAGGCCAATGGCCAACCCACCCAGCTGCGACTGGAAACCCCTGGTGGCTACAGCCAGCGGCTGAGTCTTTCTGAGGATCATCCCCCACTGGCCAGCCCCAGGTGGTGGCCAGGAGAAGCTGTGCAGGAGAGCCAGAGGTGCAGGAGTGCGGGGCTCAGCGGGTGGCAGGAGGCTCTGGGGTCAGTGGGGGCTTTGGGACAGGGACGGGGTTGGGTGGGGAGAGCTTGGGAAGAGGAAGGGCCCAGAGGAAGCTCTGGGCTTGTGAGAAGGACGCAGGGTGGAGCTGGTTTTGGTGGCTTAGCTGGTGGCGGAGCGACGTGCCTGGCGCGCGTGCTGTTTGCACAGCCTCACGTGAGCCCTGCTGAACCCATTGTGTGTGTACGGGAGTGAAGGAGGGGGACATGGGGCCGAGATTAGGCAGCGGGGCAGGGACAGCGGGCACGGGCCTGCGGGTGGCACGAACGTGGCTGGAGGGCAAGGGCAGGGAGAAGGCGGCTGTTTGTGCCCAGATGAGAAGGTCTGGAAGCCTTCATCCGGGTGGAAGGAGCACAGGGGTCAGACACACACAGCGGCAGTGCCAGCCCCACAACCACAGCGATGCCCGCTGCAGCCCCGGCACCCAGACAGCAGCACGGGGCCATCCCCATCCCACGGGGCGCCAAGGGCCGGGCTGACCCCTCGGTCCCGGGGCCGCCGTGCTGCGGGATGTGGGGGCATCCGCGGCTCTGTGGGGGCCGTGGGGCTGTGGGGCCGGGCGCGGCGGGCTCTTTAAGCTGGCTGTCGGCGGGACAATGGCCATTAGCACTTCAGCTTTGGAAGTGACCCCCGGCCCGCTCCGCTTTCATCTGGGCCGGGGCGGCGGGGATGGCCCGCTTCCTGCCGGGGGAGGGGAAGGGGGAACGAGGGAGGGGCGGCCCGACCCCATCCCCGGCCCGGCCCGTCCCGTCCCCGCACGCTGCCGAGGGTCCCCTCGGGGCTGCCACCGGGGCCGGCGGCGGCGGCGGCTCCGCGCCGCTTCCTGCCGCCGCCCTTAAAGGTGCGCAGCGACGGGGCCAGGTGAGTGCGCCCCGACGGCGGCTGCTGCTCGCCATCCTTCCCCTGTCCCCTCCTTCCCCAGCCCGGCCCTTTGTCCCCCGGGCGACAGCGCGGTCCCCGTGGGCTCGGGGCTCTCCTCCTCTCGGGGAGCGGGGCCGCAGTCAGGTGCCGCTTGCGCTCCGCAGGTAAGTTCCCCATCCCCGGGGAGCCGCAGCCAGGTGCCGCTGGGTTACTGCACGTCGGGGATTTATTTTTCCCCCCCCCCCCCTTTAAAATAAAGCCGGGTAGAAGGGGTGTGTGTGTGGGGGGGGGTGCTGGCGGGTGGGAGCGGGCTTCTTTTGCTTGCGGCAGCCCCAGGGGGTGATATTTCTCACCTAGACGGCCCCTTGAGGTTTTTGTGCTGCTCTTGTGACCCTGCCGTGGTTCAGCTGAAAGCCCTCAGTGCCCGCAGCTGGGTTCAAGAGCCAGCTGAGCTGTCCCACCCAGCAGCCCTGCGAGGTTCAGGGGCCGAGGGCTCCCGGATTCCTGCTGCTGGGAGCGTTTTGGGGACAGGCTCGGGGAACTTGCACTACTGGATGCCACCAGCCCATCGGTTTAGGTGAGAGAACGTGATCTGCGAGTGCTCGCTTATCTGTTACAATGCAAAAGCGGCCGGGTTAGCGAAAACCTCCGTTATCAGTGCTGCAAAGCTCCCTCGGTTGCTTCTCGGGGCTGTGTTGGGTTGGGGAGCATTTGTCCATCGCGTTCAGCTGGCTGTGCTGGGGGAGCGGGGGGTAAAAACCCTCACGTTGCAGCAGCTTCTCTGTGTCAGGAGCTGCTGGGCTTGCTCTGCCGATGAGCCCAAGCCCGCAGCTCAGCAGGGGCTGATGTCCTTTGCTTCTGGCTTGCCCGGCCCCCCTCCATGCAATCTCCCAGGAGTTTATCTGTGATGCCGGAGCCCTGGCTTTTGCCTCAGGCTTGCCTGCAGGGTCCTGTTGCTCCAGCTCTGCACTGCAGGAGCTGGCAGTGACATTGAGGCTGCGGGTTATTCCTTAAGAAGAGGATTTAAATCTGTGCCTCCAGCTCTCTCTGTTCCCCCCTCCAAGCCATAAGGGAGTGGGAAATGCCCACCAGGCCATAAAGACCCGGTGTGGTCCCCGTGCTCCCTAGCCTGTCCCAGCTCCTCTCCCCCTCCAGGGAAAAAGCTTTTCACCTCTTCTTTGCCCTGCTCTCCCAGCGGCTGCAGGGGATGTGGCCATGGAGAGTGAGGGCTTGGGCTGTGCTGGGGCTCTCCCTGCCCGGCTGTACAGAGGGGCAGCTCTGCTTCAGCTCCTCGCCACGTGCTGTACACCACTGGCTTCATGAAAATGCTGCTCTGCAGGATAAACTTCCGTGAGCCTCCAGGGCAGCAGAAGTACAGACCTGACCCAAAGTGACAATCTATTGTGGGTTAACTCTGATAGGGGTGGGATAAAAGTGAGGGAACTTGTGGTTTGAGATAAAAATCATTTAGTGAGCAAAGGAGAGGTGGAAGAAGAAAGAACAAAACTAAATGATGCAAAGCAATCACTCGCCACCTCCCATGGCTATGTTGATGCCCAGCCGGTTTTCCAGCAAAAGATGGCTAAAGGTCTCCCTAACCCCCCTCCTCAACCTGTTTATTGCTTATATGGCATGGAATAGCTCTGGTTAATTTGGTCATCTGCCTGGTTGTGCCCCCTCCCAGCCTCTTGTGCATCCCAAGTTTATTCACTGGGGGGGGGCAGAGTGAGAAACAGAAGGCCTGGATGCTGTGCATGTGCTGTTTAGCACTAGGTGAAACATCAGTGTGTTATCAGCATTGTTCTGGTCACAAATGTAAAACGCACCCCTGCAGGGGCTGCTGTGAACAGAATTAACTCCGTCCCAGCCAGACCCAGCACACAACCCTGTGCTTGCTTGGTCGAAAGGGCTGAGGACAAATCTATCCCTTTCCTTCGCAGCTGTGGCCTTCTCCTGTGTTGTCTCTGAGTGCTGATGCCCTGCAGCTGTAGGAGAAGGCCCTGGCCTCCAACATGTGGGAGACCACGGAGGGGCTCAGCTCAGGGAGGGGAGCTGATCTGGTGACCTGATTAAAGGCAAGGGGCAGCAGCAGCAGCGTGGGGCTCCCCGTGGTGATGCAGCGGTGTGATATGTGGCACCTTGTCCCGTTTGCTGTTTGGTCACGGCCAGGGGCTATAGGTACTGCAGCAACGGTAATGTTATCTGCAGCAGGGCACGGGATGGAGAGTCAGGAAGGGTCAGGCAGGGCGGCTGCTTTGCTTCAGGGCTGCTGCCTCTTTCCGTGGCATCTCCCTGCAGAGCTGGGTGTGTAATGATGCCTCCAAAGTGTTGTGAGAAGGTGGGTCTCCAGCTGGGATAGGAATGAAGGAGATGACAAAGTGATGTCCAATATGCAGGGGGTGGCACAGAACGAGCAGGGCTCTGTATAAGGAGAAAACTGACCAGATTGGGCTGCTCTGGGTGAAATGCTGTGCTCCCAGTGTGCAGATTGGTTTGAGAGGGAAGGACGGGGCTGGTGGGGTGAGGGATCTGAGCTGGCTGCTGGTGAAGCAATGCTGGAGGGGGATGTGGTGGTGGAGCTGGATCACAGGGGTGCTCCTGGAGGGGTTGGGGCAGAGCCATGTGGGTGTCAGGACCAACGCTGGCAAAGGAGGGGATGCAGGTTAGGCCCCTTGGGCCCCCTGAGTGGGAGCTGGCACACAGGGGATTGGGACAGGGCTGATTTGGGGAAGAAGGGCTCCATGCAGCCTCTGAACCTACCCACCCCATTCTCTCTCCATTTGTGCTTTGGGGTTGCCTCCTGCCTGGCAGGGCTTCTGGGGGCTGTGCTCTTTTTGCCCCTTCTCCCCGGCTGGCCCTGCTTCTCTGCTGAGCAGCAAGTGACACCTAGTGTCAGCTCAGGCACCTGTAACCGTGGCTTGGCTCCAGCTGTTCCTCCTGCCTCAGGTTTTGAGGTGCCCTGCTCTGAGGGAGGGAGCATCTCCCTGTCCCTTCTGCTGTTGGCCTGGATGCCTTGCAGGCTGGCCCCTCTGTGCTCCTGCACAGTGCTGTGTCACCTGGCTGTTCCTGCTGAGGTGATGAATATTTCACCCCTGAGGCTCCTTATAAGTGCTGGTAGAGGGGAGATTAAATGCGCTGTGGGGGAGCTGGGGGTAGGGGTGAGGCTGGGCACAAAGCTCGGTGTGTGGGGGCTGAGGCTGGCCTCGTCTCCCACCCCGATGGATGCAGTTGCTCCTTAGTTTGACCCATCCATCCCAGACATCTCTGGAGGCTGTGTGCCATGCGTGCTGCCCACAGGAGGTCACTGCAGAGCAAGCTGAGCCCATGTCCCTGTCCCAAGTCTGCCTGTGGGGACCCAGGCTTCCTCCTTTGTCCTTGGGATGTGTTTGTGCGGGTGGGGGGGGGAGAGCAGAGGCCTTTCCTCCACCCTCTTCCCACTTCCTAACGCCTAGGGAAGAGCAGGAGGTACCAGGCCCCCATCAGCCTGGAGCATGCGCTGTCTTGATCTCATGCGACTCCTTTCTTTCTGCTGCCCTTCAGGATGATCCAGCGGCACCAGCTGGTGCAGTCTGTGCTGCAGGAGCTGCAGGAGGCCACCGAATGCTTCGGTCTGGAGGGCCTCACCAGCGCCGCGCTGGAGGCGGAGAGGACCCTGTCAGTCCTTCTCCCTGCCCGGCTATCACGGGAGGCAATTCCAAGAGGAGCTGGAAGTTGACCGAGTAGCCAGGAGCCTCTACCCCGAGGATGCCCCAAGTAACATGCTGCCCCTGGTTTGCAAAGGGGAGGGGAACCGCCTCTTCGAGGCCGCCAGCGTGCTGCTCTGGGGCAACCCCAGCCTCAGCCTGGAGCTGCAGGTGCGGACGGTGGTGGAGATGCTGCTGCACAAGCAGTACTACTTGAATGGCATGATAGACTCCAAGGTGATGCTGCAGGCTGCCCGCTACTCCCTCTGCACTGAGGAGACCCCGGAGATGACCAGCCTCCCCATGGCTATCCTGGAGGCGATCTTTGATGCTGATATCAAAGCTACCTGTTTCCCTGGCACCTTCGCCAACATGTGGCACGTCTACGCTCTGGCCTCCGTGCTGCAGTGTAACATCTACTCCATCTACCCCATGAGCAACTTGAAGATCCGGCCGTATTTCAACCGCCTCATCCGGCCCAGAAAGTGCGGCCCGCGGACCTCCACGCTCCACATCATGTGGTCGGGGCAGCAGCTTTCCCGGCAGGTCTTCAAAGCGCAGTACTTCGTGGCCGTGGTGGGTCTGGAGGAGCTGGAACCCACCATGCCCTCGCCAGAGCCTCCCGTCCAGCCCATGAAGACCCTCGAGCTGCTGAATAGTGACCCCCAGCTGACGTACTCCAACCTCCGTGACAGGTACAGCATCACCAAGAGCACCTTCTACCGCTGGAAGCGCCAGTCCCGCGAGCACCGGCAGAAAGCAGCTGCCAGGTTTGCAGCCAAACACTTCCTTCAGTCCTGCTTCCAAGAGGGCAACGTAGTCCCCCTCCAGCACTTCCGACAGATGTTCCCGGAAATCTCCCGGTCCACGTACTATGCCTGGAAGCACGAGATGCAGAGCGTGGTCAACGGAGATGCCTCTGCTCTGGCTGAGGCCCATGGGTTGCAGGAGCTTCACAGGGATGTCCAAAAAAAGGCTGTGGATGAGCCGGCAAATTCAGAGGCGAGCTCTAGGCCCCCGAGCCCTTCCCTAGACCCGGTCCAAGCAGGGATCTTCATGCGAGGAGCCAAATCCTACCTGGAGAAATGCATTTCCATGAACACTCTGGTGCCTTACAGGTGCTTCAAGCGCAGCTTCCCCGGCATCTCCAGGTCCACGTACTACAACTGGCGAAGAAAAGCCATCAAGGAGAACCCCAACTTCAAGCCCCCTCAGTCTCCCTTGGATAACCCCAAACCTCTAGCCATAGGAAAACCCCTCCTCCAGCTGAAGCCAGGCAGCTTGCCTGTTAGGAAGAGGCTGAACGGAGACCGGCCAGCGCCCAGGAGTCTCCTGCAGCTCAAGCCCTCTCTCTGCTGGAGGAAGCAGCTGCGAGACGTGGCCCGGAGGCAGGTCCAGCAGTGGCAGCTGCCCTTCAGCAAGTTTCGCCTGCGCTACCCAGCGCTCTCCTCCACGACCTACTGGTTTTGGAAGGGCATTAGGCCGGGCGCTCAGGCGGCAGCGCCTGCGCTGGGCCAGCTCCAGGCGGCTGTTGAAGCGGGTGGCTGCCCTGGGGCCACAGAGGGCCGAGCTGGGTGTCAAACCCCAGTTCCCTGCAGAGGTAGCAAGCAAGCAGCTAGAGAAGCCAGCACCGGCTACCCCGTACAACGCCACCATCTCGGGCTACGCCGTGTCGGAGCGGGCCAACAGCCGGATGTTTGTGATGGATGTGATCGCCACCTGCCCAGTTCAAGGCGCAAGCCAAGCTGTTCCTGCAGCAGCGCTTCGAGTCGAAGACCTTCCCCACCTACAAGGAGTTCAGCGCCCGCTTTCCCCTCACGGCCCGCTCCACCTACTACATGTGGAAGCGTGCCCTGCACGATGGGCTGACCCTCGTGGATGCCTGAGGGCTGCTCTGTGCCCTGCGGCTCTCTGGCAGGGTGTCCAGGCTGGGGCCCAGGCCTAACTTTTTGTTCTGGTTTTGTTTTGTTCCTAGTCTCTGATTTTTATTTTTTTTTTCTTTTTCTTTTTGGGGGGTTCAGTCAGGTATCGAGTGCCTGCACGGTGCCCACTCCCGGAGATGGGAGGAGTGGGAGGCAGGCTCTGGCTGCCCCAAAGGAGAGGGGCAGAGGGGTTTTGTCCTCTGTTGTGCTCAGGGGATGCGCAGGGGTCTGAGGGCATGGCAGCCCCCCTGTGTGTGATGGGGTGGAGGACTGGAAGGGCTGTCTGCCCTGGGCACAAGTGTGAAGGAGTGGGGATGTGCAGAACTGAGCATGGAGGTGCCCAGCATCCCCTCAGCTGTGGGTGAGGGGGGGGGGTTGGGGAGTGCTCAGTGTTTTTTTGGGGGGATATGTGTACATCTCTGATCTGTGCTCCTCCCGGTTAAGGAGGATGAAGGCTTAATCTCAGGCCAGCACTGATGCCACTTTAGCTTTCGAGCTTTTAATAGCTTTCCCTAGCTGCCCTGATCTTCCCTGGAGGAACCAGAGGCTGGTAGAGGATGGCTTTGGGTTGTGTCCCCATTGTAGCCTGTGCTGGGAACGTGTTATGTTCCCTTGCCAAGCCAGGAGCTGCTGTCCTTTTTTTTGTTTTTATTTTTGGTTAGGCTCTAGAGAAGCCATCCCTGACCTTCCTGGTCTTTTAGCAATAGCCTCTTTCACACAGTCCTTCACTCAGAGCTGGCAGCTGTCCTCCTCTGTGTCTCTTCCCTGGTGCCTGCATGAAGGTGTGGGGCAGGGACCAAACCCCGTGGGCCCAAAGTCTCTCCCTGAGCCACTCAAGGCAGGGTGGCTGCCTCCTCGCAGCAAACATGGCTGTGTAGGCCTGACTTGTAAGAACTGAAAGCAATAAAAACTTCTGCTCCCAGTCCTGTGTGGTTCCTCACTCCTACATGAGGGATTTCTGGGCAAGGCCTTTCCCTCTCCCTTTGCTTTTCAGAACTGGGTGGTGACCCCTTAGCTCCTTGGCAGTGGTGCTAGTGGAACCTTGTCACCATCGATCCACCCCTAGAAAATGTTCTGTGGGGTGAGGGGATACCAGGTTGCTTGTGTGTGGTCACAGGGGAGGGGATCTGGGGCTGGGGGTGCCTTGGGGAGGGGATGGGGCCTGCAGTGGGAGCAGTGCTGGGTGCTGCTGCAGAGAGCTCTGAGTGCCTGGGCTCTCTGTGTCAGGGAAGTAATTGGAGTAATTAGCTGCCCGTGACTTCTCACCAGTGAACTCCTCCAAGGGAGCAAGCTGGTAATTACTCCAGAGTGATTACCCGTGTCTCCAAACTGCCGGGGGCTGGAGACAGCCACTTTCCATGGCAGCAGCGGCTGTGAAGGCAGGCAGGAGAGAGACCTCTGGGCTGGGGCTGGGCCCTCCCTCTGCTGAGCCGTGGCAGCAGGAGATGTGGGTTGTCTGACTGCTGCTGCTTGCACAGGTCCTCCTAGGGGACCCTGAGCCTGGGGTGGGCTGGGGACAGGGGCAGGGTGCCCATCAGGCATGGGGGGGTGCTGCTGATGTGGTGGGTGGTGGGCAATGCCTGTCTGGGGGAAATCCACAGTGCTAAATTCACACCCGTTGTGCTGTGCTTGCATGGCAGGAGATGAATTCAAGGCAGTCCCAGCAGCTCTGCCCTGTGCTGCTGATAAATCTCCCCCTTTGCAGGCACGGAGCGAGATTTAGTTGAGGCGTCGCTCAGATCCCTCACAGGCGGGTGCTCAAAAGCACTGACCCCAAACCAAGACGGAAATGAAAACAGTAAAAGGAGATTAAAATGCTGTGAAGCTGTGCAGAGTAGCTCCCCACCTGCCTGTGATTTAGGGCTCTGCTCATCTGCTAACACACCTAATTCATATCCATCTAGGTCCATCATGCTGTGCCGGCTGGGTTGGGGTGGTGGGGCAGGACATGAATGTGGCAGGGGTGCTCTGGGGACAGGGACCGTGGTGCCACCCTGCTGTGTCCCTCCTGTCCTCCTGTGGGCCAAGAGCAGTGTCCCACCCGGTGGCAGCACAGAGCAAAGGTGGAGGCGGAATGTCATCCCTGCAATAAAAACAGGTGGTTACGTGGGGGACTGCTCGTTCCTATTCAACGGGGATGTTAAACGTGGGGACTAACAGGGCAATAAGCCTGCCTAATAAACCAGGTGACTGCGAATGGCTTAATGAGCTATAATGGCCTGCGGGAAGGGCTGGTCTGGGTGCTGCTCCTGGGTGTGCTGCAGGAGCACCTACGGTGGGCAGCGGTCTCTGTCCAGAGGCTGTCCTTCCTATGGGACTAACAATCTGCAGTCTTGAAATTCAGCATGTGTTTGGCATCTGGGCCATTCAAACAAGAGGTTTGCCAGATACGGTCTTTGTGATGGAAGTGATGTCTTGACAAAAGGACCCTGGGAGCCCTGGTAGTCCCTGTTACCTCCCCACAACAGAGATGATTTAGGGTCCCACAGCTCACGGGGGCATGAGCAGCTCTGAGCCTTGCAAGGCCCATCAGGGTGGAGATAGATCCGCAACAGGAGGACAGAAAAGCCAGTGTCACCAACTGAAATGTGAGCAGCAAGCACAAAAACAATCATCAAGAATATCTATGTGGGGAAGAGAGGAAAGAAGATGAGGAAAAAAAGGGACCACCTGGATCAGTCCCCTGGATAAGCCCATCCGTGCAACGCCCTTGCGTCTCCCACTGCCCCATCCCAGTGCCACTGCTCTGGGTTTCAGCGTTGCCCAATTTCTTTATTCGTACTCGGTATTTCCAAATCCTCCTGATTTTGTCTCATTAGCAAATGTCACCAACGCACCCTTCCTTCCTCTGCCGACTTGCTAATGAGAATACGGGAAAAGACCAACCCTCATCCTGATCTTCAAGGATTTTACCCTCCAGCCCAACAGAACTTCTAAAATATGAATACCCCATTTACACCCATCTCAGCTGGCCTGGACCAGCCCTGCCCGACAGCTGTCCACACGATGCCACGCCAGCTGTTTGGCTGACACCCAGATGCTGCATTCCCTGCCCTTTTCTAGAAAACAAGTGAGCTGATGTGCCCTGATGATTTAGCTTAATCAACATCTGGAAAACACGCGAGCTTTGGAGAAAACACTCAAATATAAACACACTTTGAGAAGGAAAAAAAAATCCATCTTTCTTGTCCAATGCTGTCAAGAGTTCTCTGTCTGTGCACAGACTTTGATTTATGACTTCGGGGATGGCATTTTGGCAGAGATCACATTTCTTTGCATGTCAGGTCTCCTTCCCTGGCTTCTTCCCCACCCCTGTCCCCAGCCCTCCTTCACCGGGGGACCTCAGGGGACCAGGGGACCTGGCTCAGGAGACGCAGTGATGTGCCGATGGGGCTGGGGAGAGGAGGGGATGATGCCCGGTGCTGAAGCTTGCAGGTGTTTGTTTGCTGACAGAAGGAGGTGGAAAAATCCCGTTGCTGTGGGGTGCTGCAGGATGATCCCCAACCATTCCCAAGCATCCCCATGCCTTGGGATCAGGGGGATGCAGAGGAGGGGGGCGTGCAGGGTCAGACAGCTCAACCCCATGGTGCCCTCCTGCATGCGGGGCTGCCTGAGATGGCAGAGGGAGAGGAGAGGTAATGAGCACCCAGGTTTCCTGCCTGGTGCTGCAGCGATGGCCCTTACTTGGCTTCTCTCCCAAAAATCCTCTCCACCAGCCCCGCAGGGGGGCATGGCCACTGGGCTGTGCCTCCCCGCACACCCTGCTGCAGGCTGTTTGTGGGGAGCAGCGGGGAGAGGAGAGGCTGCCCAAGGCACGCACTGATACATGCTCTTGCTTGCCATTTCTTTTTTTTTTTCCTTCTTTTTACGGGAATAGATGATGTGCCCTGTCTCAGCTAATTAGCTATTTCCTCACCAGATTGTTGTGGAGGGAAAACACTGGTGGTGCCATTAAGCGAGGAGGACGAACCCTGCTCGTCATCATTCCCTGCGGCTCTTCTCTCACCAGCCCCAGAGCAGTCTCGGTGGGGCAGTGGAGGTGGTTTTGCCCTGACAGCACTGGCTCAGGGGACCTGTGTCTGTGTACATCCTTGTAGGGCATCACCAGTTAACCAAGCCCCCATCCCCAGCTCAGGGAACCCCAAGTCCTGAGGACCCATCACCACGCATCATTGCCCTGGGGTGGGCACCTCTGGTTGCCCATTGAGTCTTCTATTTTCTGGGTTAGAAATGTTGAAAGGCCAGAATTTGTCCCCCTTTGCCCAAAATTTCTGAGAACCCGCTGTGGGGCCAGGACACCTATGAAGCTCTGCTGTGGGGCTGCAGGTCCTGGGGGGGGTCCCTTCCACCTGGGAGAATGGGAGGGAGGGGGTGAGGAGTCACATCTCCACAGCCCTGGCTGGGCTTATTTTTTTTTTCTTTTTTTTTTTTCTTTTTTTTCTTTTTTTTTTTTAATTTTCTCAGCTCAGTCACATTTCTGGAGCTCGCATCTCCCCCGACTGCCGTGGCTCCCAGGCTTTTTGCTTCCTTCCCTTCTGCTCCGGCAGCTGCAGCAGACGCTGCGAGTCTGCGATAAGTTATTCAGCAGCATTCTCCACGCTGGTCCTTGGATTTCAATTTCCACATGTTTCCCTTCAGGCTGTTTCCAACTAATTTCTCCATTTGCATAATGCCCCCCTTAGGGATGCGCTTGCTCAGCCTCTTCCCCCCCCTTTTACAAGATCATCAGAGATCCAGGCTATTAGTGGAAAACTCTCTTTAATTCTGTTGGTCCTTCGGAATTAGCCCAGTCCTGCCTCGTGTGCCTCCAATTAAAGGAGACAAAGGGGCAGGGATGCAGAGATGAGCAGATTTGGGGAATGAGCCCTGGCAAGCCTTGGGGGCACTCCCATGGGGGTGAGAAGTGGGACCATGGGGGCAGGGGGAGGCTGGTCCCCATGCCCATCGCATGCATCCAGCTCCTCGGGCGGGGATGCCCCTCACCTCTCCCGGGCACCCCATCACTTCTCTCCACCATCAGAAGCCAGACCTGGCTAGGCACTCCTAATATTCATATTTTCCTGCCCCTCTCTGAGCTTGTTTTATTTTCAGCTTCTCCTCTAGGCAGCCTGACCAGAAACCTTCCATCCTCTACCTAATTCTCATCCATCCCCACATGGCTAGGAAGCCCCCATTACCACCCTGCTCCCAATGTGGGCTGCTGGCTGGGATCTACATCGCAGTACGACTCCCCCCGAGCTGCCCAGACACCAGCTGGATGATAAACTCCGCAGGGAGCTGCAGAAACACCTCCAGCTCCCAGCCAGCTCAGCACTCCCGCAGCAGCCTGCAGAGCTCCCCTCTTCCCGCTCCAGCTCCGCGTTGTTACAAACAGCATCCTTTTCGCCTGCTCCTTTATTAGCTCTTCCACATTATAAAAGATAATGGGAACTCTCAGAACTGCTTCTGAACAGGTCTCTGATGTGCTTCTCTCCTTTATGGCTCGAGTACAACAGAAATCGCAGACATTAACATGCTTCTTTAGGGTGAAATGTACATTTGAATGACACGCAGCCGGAGGGGCACGCTGCGCCTCTTGCAGAGCCATGGGCAGAGAGGGGCAAGGAGGATACTGGGGAGGGGGAGCCCTTTGGGGCAGTCATTGCCTTCATATCCACCCCGAAGCACTTGGTGTGCCGCTGACAACACACAAATTGGCACAAGTAAGTTGTAGACGTGGATGTGCAGTTTTTCCTTGCCTTTGGATGATGGAGATGCCCCCATCTCTTGTGCTGCCTCCAAGACCTCCCCCCTCAGGACCCTGTGCCCTCGTTCCCAGCACCCCACCCCAGGCTCTGCAAGCTGTGCCAGCCCTTCCTCTCCACCCCTTTGGTGCTCAAGCCCCCGACCTAGTGCCGAGAGCTGAGGTCTTTCCCCCTGGTTCCTCCCCCCCGGTCACTTCTTGGGCA